CTATAGAATGTGAGCAAGGATTTAATCTCCTGCATTCCTCTATTTATAGAATGTGATCAAGGACTTAGTCTCCGCATCCCTTATCTATAGAATTTGATCAAGATTCAGTCTCCGCATCCCTAATTTATAGAAAGTGATCAAGGACTTAGTCTCTGCATGATTTATCTATAGAATGTGATCTTAGCTTCAATCTCTCTATGTCTCATCTATAGATTGTGATCAAGGCTTCCGTCTACCATGATTCATCTATAGAAATAAGAAGGTATCAATTCTCTGCATCTCTCGTCTATAGAATGTTAACAAGGTTGTCTCAACTCTCTCCTTGTTTCATGTCCATAGTGTTATCACTCACATCGCGCACGCCCATGCCTGTGATGTTATCCTACTTCGTCTCTGTTCAAATCTCTGTCTCAAGCATCTGCATGTGGACGGATCTACGCGATGGGCTCAACATTGTCAGTATCGTCTGCATGGTGAAATCCGCGGTAAGCCGACTCTATAGCCTGACTTTAATTAATAAGTCCTTATATTCGCTAGACAGTTGATTATTGTCTCCCTTGTGATAAAATATAACTCGATTGATATCTGCTTTCTGCGATGATGGCAAGTGTCACAGTTACCATCACATTACATAAATAAAGACATTTCTATCAGCGCTGAATAATGGGCGGCATTATTACGTCTGACACCGCTCATTAACCCTACGCCAGCTCGATCAAGTCGAGAGCTAATGATACATTGTGAAGGTATTATTGGCTCCTATCTTATCATAATAACGTATATTAGCACTTAATCTGATTATAATAACGTATTATAACCTCATCTTATCATAATAACGTATTATTAGCACTTCTCTGATTATAATACGTATTATTAACCTCTTATCTTATCATAATAACGTATTATTAGCACTTATCTTATCATAATAACGTATGATAAGCTCTCGATCATATGAGGATGTGAGCGTCCGACTGGTTCCACGTCGAGCCCAGCGTCTGGTTCGACTCGATGATTTCCGACGCGTCCTTGTTTAGCGCGCTCTTCATCGGGCCCGCCGTGCTGACTGACGCCATAGAGGTCGCTCTTCTCATGTCTGCCTGACTCGGGCCGGGCCTGCTCTCGTCGTCGTCGTCGTTCTCTCTGCGACCAAGCGTCCGCCAGGAGTCGCTGCCGCGCCGCTTGTACGTGGGCCGCGGCGTCGATGCGTCGTACTGCGACTCCGCGTCCACGACGTCGCTCAGCGTGTGCAGACTCGCGTTGAGCCGGTTGCCATGGCTACTCGGCAGCCAGGAGAAGTGGCGCGCGTATTTCTTCATGCCGAGGCTGACGTCGCCCGGGTAAGTTGTGACGGAGACGTCGTCGTCGCGCGGCGTGCCGGGCGGCAGCGGCGGCTCGATCGAGTCGCGCCGTCGGCCGTATCTTCTTGCGGTGGCGATGACGGCGAGGAAGAGCAGTGCGACGATGCATCCGGCGCCCGTCAGGATGTAGGTGAGCCTCTCTCCCGTGATGCACATGCCGAGCACGTAGCCGATGCAGTGCACGGCCGGCTCCTGCTCGATGGCCGCCGTCTCCTCTCCCTTAAGACTCCCGCCGGTCTTTCCTTCGTCCAGCCCGTCCCCGGTTGGAACGCTTCCCGCCACCTCGTTATCCGTGGCGGCTTCCCACGTCGTCGTGCCGGTCGTCTTCGTCGTCGCCGGCGTGACATCTGGCGGGCAGTTCATGCGGAGACGTTGCGCGAGGCTGGCGTTCTCGACGCCACGCTCCGGCAGGCAGACGACCCCGTCCATCGTCAACGTCAGCTCGCGCTGCGCCGCCGCCAGCCACGCTAGCAGGTCGCAGTCGCAGCGGATGCTCATGCCGGACATGTTGACGCGCGACAGCAGCGGCATCTGCTGCAGCTGCCGCACGGGCACGTCGCGGATGCTCGTGTTGGACATGTCTAGCGTCGTGAGGCCGGGGAGCACGGGCAGCGTCTTCACGCCCGTGTTGGCGATCAGCAGACTGCGCAGGCTCGTGCACAGCTCCAGGCCGTCGTTGATGTTGCGGCGCAACCGGTTACCGGTGAGATCGAGCAGGCGCATGTTGCGCGTCCCCATGAGCAGCTTGTCGGGAATGTCGTCTATCATGTTGTCACGCAGCAGCAGCGTGACGATCGGGCTGAGACCTGCGGACGTACCGAAAAAAAACGAATAAAATGAAAAAATAAATACAAGCAAACGTATAAGTAAACAGATAAATAAGCAGCCAAATAAATCAATATATAGATATATTTATTAGAGCAAGTTACTACTTTTAGATACAGAGTTATAAACGACAGAATTTCTAGCATGATAGTTTAATCAGTTATGGCAAGGTGAAGCGATCGCCATGTTTAAATGTAAAGTTTAATGTCTATAATGTGTGTCATCGCCCGCATCTTGGTCACGCCACACGTGTAGGCTGAACATAAACATAAATATGAAAGAAAACCTAAACCAAATTAAAACAATGTTATAAATTAAATGTAAGAAATTTAATTACAGTAACGGACAAATATTTTTAATTTGTATAAAACTTAATATTTAGTACCTGTGAATAGATCCTCCGGTAGGTGTACAATACGGTTTCCGGATAGATCAACGTGCCGCAGGTAGGGGAATGAATCGAACACGGTAGGTCTGAGGAATGTTATCTTGTTGTTACTCAGACACAGGCTGCGTAGGTCGCGGGGTCCGGCCAGCATTTTCGATGACAGTAGGTAGAGGTTGTTGTGAGACAAATCGAGCATCTCTAGCACTGAGAAGTTCACAAACGTGTACCGCTCAATCACCTGCCGAGAAAAGTTCATTTGAGTTGTGAATAGGGGGAAAAAAATTGCAGCGTTATTTGTTTTGTATTGTTTCTGTTGTCATATCTTCCTCAGACATACACGGACGTGCTGAGCATATGGAAGTGCTACGTACGTTTTTTAATGATTACCGCTCTTTACTTTGAATCAGAAGAAGAAGACGAAGAAGGAAAAGAAGACGATGATGATGATGATGATGATGATGATGATGATGATGATGATGATGATGATGATGATGATGATGATGATGAAGCAGAGGAAAAGGAGGAAGAAGAAGAACAAAAACGAGAAAAAAACAAAAAGAAGAGGAAAAAGAAAGGAGAAGAAGAAGAAGAGAGGTGCGGGTATATATCTGCGCTCACCTGTATGCTGTTGTTTCTCAGCGTGAGATTAAGCACCGCGGGAAGTTCTACGTTGTAGAAGGTCTCCTGCTTGAGGACGGGCACCAGGTTTCCCTCGATGATGAGCGCGCGCGCGTCGCGCGGAATGCGCCGGACGTCGAACTGCGTCAGTCGGCTGCGTCGCTCGCAGTTCGACTTCCACGCGTCGTCGAGCGTGTTATAGACGTAGCAGCCCGGCGACGCTCCGCGCGGATATCCGCTCTCGCAGCCCGCCGCGAGCGCGCACAGAAACAACGTCAGCGTCAGCGTCACCGTCAGCGTCAGTGTTAGGCGACGCAACGGTGAGATGCGGCGGGAAACCATTGTGGCGGTGTTGTAGAGATTGCAGGGCGTTTCAGAACACACGTAGCCCCCTATACGTACACTATTGGCACACTGTTGGCACGCTATTTGTACGCTATAGGTATGCTATAGATGCGCAGTATATGTACGCTATACGTGCGCTTTGCGTAAGTTATGCGTACGCATAATAGGTACGTTATACATGCGCTGTATGTACGTTATACGTACGTCATACGTGTGTTATGCGTACGCAATACGTAAGTTATGTGTATACGCTACTCTACGCTACACTGTGTGCGTCGCTCCGCGCACCGTGGTGGATGACGTCTAGGTAACGTAGACTCGCCGGGCACTGACTCTAGGACCTTGTTCCTGCGCTGTAGCTTCTTTCAGCTGCGATTCAACATCGTCACAGCACACGAATGTAGTTAGCATTTACGCTGTCGCGTCGACACTAGTTTCTAGTGTCTTGTTAAGAAAGTTCACAGATAAAGAAGGTTTGTGTTACGATCCCATATTGAAAAGTGTTTGATTTTCTCTCGTTCCTCAATGCTTCACATAGTTTCAATCTATATATGACGCCGAGACTCACTACTCAACGTTTCACTATATATCACTCTCATGTCGAATTTCCAACAAGCGTTCAAACGAGGACCACATCTTTGTTTTCTTCCACTCGCTATAGACAGTCACGCACCACACCCACACTGTCAGGCCAAGCTAGCAGCAAATAAGCGCACGTGTAATAAGCATATGTAATGATAGCTTTCCAAATGCAACAGCTGCATTAGTCACGAACTCGTACTCTATGTGTTGGCAACAGCTGCAATAGTATATTGTGCATGCTAGTTAGGCTTACATAATATACGCGGGGTGACCAGACAGTGATGACACGTACTAATGTTAATTTTTCTAGATGATATGAATCCTTCTAAAGTTGTGTATCCAGGTATACTCACACTCATATAGCGAGTTACTGCGTGTATAATATGTACATGTGTGTATGTGTGGGCGTGCGTGCATGAGTGCCTGCGTACGCGCGTGTGTGCATGAGTGCCCGCGTACATGCGTGCTCGCGCGTGTGTGAGGGGCGAATATAAAATGATAGAGCGAGAGAGAGAGTAATTTTCCCAAAAAATGAGAAGCGTGGTGGGCGATTTGTTAAAAACTATGCGTCATTCCATATTGGAATTTTCTTCCTTTCTTTTTGGTTAATTGCAAAATTAAAGGTTTTTCTACTGCGATCCGCAGAGTTGATCTGTCAACATTTTGTCTCTCTCCGTCTTCCATATAACTCAATGGACGCTGAAGAATAATATTTATTATGTTATGGCCTTATGGGGTTATACGTGTATATACGTATGGGTCATGGGGTTATAGCGTATATATATATATATAATATAATATATATTATATTATAGCAATATTAGATGCTATCGTCAACGTTGCAGGCACCAGAGTTAATTTGACGTCATCAAACGTCACTTCCTGTCCTTTCCGATATCGACCAATCAAAATCCCTGTTCGTCGTATTCGCTGTCCTTTTGCATGGTGGTAAGTGATCTTGGCCAGTTTATATTCAACAGCGGCGTAATCAAATAGTTGAATCATACAGTACACAACTGTTCCGAAGTAGCAGTACAACTGTGTATATGTTTATTAGTAGAACTATAATCATTATCGACGGTATTCCACGAGAATGTCCTCTTACACTGTTGTCTGTAGTTTGTTTTATTGTTGGTATTCGTGTTCGTTGGCATTGCCACTGGCACTGGCATTACTCCGGATAGGCCCTAGCTCTAGCCTGCGCCCTCTAGGCTCTAGTACTATAGCCCGCGTTCATTAACTGCCGCAGGGCGTTAAATGGCCTTTATGGTCAGGTTTTTGGCGCAGGTTATTGATGGCCTGCGGCAGTTAATGAACGCGGACTATAGGGCCCAATGATAGAGAACATGGGTCCCAATAAAACCAATGTGCCTAAACCTAACCCTAACCCTAATTCTAACCCTAACTCTAACCCTAACCCTAATCCTAATCCTAACCCTAATGGTAACCCCCTAATCCTAACCCTAATGGTAACCCCCTAATCCTAACCCTAACCATTTATTGGACTCATGTTCTCTATCCTTGAACCGACTATAGTACTAGAGCCTAGATAGTAGATAGGCTCCTATCAATTCATTTTATCATGAGCAATGAACTTGCATTGACTCAGTCAGTGACAGTGAACTGACTTTGAGGACATATATTGATATCAAGACCGGCTTCTTCTTTGTTGCTTGTTATTCTGTTGTACTATTGTCTAGTAGTAGTAATACAAGTTACAATATAGGTTGCACTGTCACTGTCAGTTCCTAGTGTCGAAATGTTCCAATGTCATGCCAGTGTTCGGGAGGTTATGAATTTAATATCTTGTGATTATTCAGCTACGCAGTTGTTTAGCGTATTGAACTTATCTCTTTCTTTAATCCTGACCACGATAAGTTGATTTTATTATAGTAAAGGTTAAGAAAGTTAATATATCTACTTACAAATGCTGGAGGCCATTGACGGTTGCAACTGCTATTTTTGTAGACCCCGTGACATGGTTTTCATCGGCCTTGACAAAAATGGTATTTTATGGCAGGCATTTGAGGGTATTGTAAAACATATGCCATGAACATGCTTGAAAACAGAAAAATGAATGAATATGATGTTAAGAGTTTGGTTGAAAATAGATAAGGTTGGAACTGTTAATGAACTAGCTATTATTGTAGAGAGTACCTGTGTCGGGTCTGCAAAGTTAATCCCAGGCAATTTCAGACGCTAGTGTGTTAATTCGTAAACTAAGCCACTTATGCCAGTGTTTGCCTAATTGTAGGAGGTAGACGTCCCAAATAGCTCAAAAAAATGCGCAGCATGGAAGAAATACTGAAGGCTGTGAAGTCTAGCCCCTTCACAAGTCAATTCCAGGCCAGATGTGATGCTTCGCTTGCACCAGTAGAGCCGCTAAAGGGTAAGTTGCAGTCGACTATGGGTGCTCGTAAAATTATTTTGCGATTAGCTGAAATATATTGGCGAATCAGAGCAATGTTGTTATGCGTGCGTGTATACGTCTATGTGTCTATTATATATGGGAAGATGTGCGTGTAATATTAAATGTCTGCTTTTCAGAGGACAATAGCTGTGAGTTTGGCTCAATGAAGTACTATGCTCTTTGTGGATTCGGTGGTATTCTCAGCTGTGGCATCACACACACTGCAGTCGTCCCTCTCGATCTGGTGAAGTGTCGGATACAGGTCGACCCTGGTATGTATGAGTAAGCACTTCTAGAGTGCACAGAATCACCTTTATAAGCAACAATAAATAGCATATTTGTTATGATACCATTGTTGGTTTCGTTTATTCATTCATTCTGGTATTTGGAGGATCTCTTAAAGGTTATCAGTATCTGTTACTATCTGTTCGGAGACCAGATTATCTTAGGTGTTAAGTGATGGAAATTTTATCCTCCACAAGGGTAGGGTATAATTTTTTCACGAGTGTGAGATAAACTGGTTTGATAAAAACGGTTGTCTCACAATATACTCACAAAATATAATTATTGCCAGGCTTGTTAAATTAGTGAATGTAGGTCCACACAGGCAAAACATTTGTTATATCATAACCATGGTACCTCTTACATTGTCACAGTAATCCCTGCATTTTATTTTACAGCCAAGTATAAAGGCGTATTCAGTGGTTTTGGTTTGACTGTCAAGGAGGATGGATTTAGAGGCCTTGCAAAGGGTTGGGCACCCACATTTTTCGGATACTCTATCCAAGGTTTAGGAAAGTTTGGCTTTTATGAAGTTTTCAAGACCGTATATGGCAACATGCTTGGTGAGGTGAGTCAGACTGTATATGGTCGATGCATCACTGCCAACGTTGTTTAAAATGCATCATTTCTAGCTGCTGAGGTATACCAAAGCAGTGATGATACATATTGCACAGTTGGCCTGAATCGCCCATTCCTGCATTTTCTTGTTGTGTTACATGAGTTACGTTACTTATACCGAGACATTTTGACGCAGTTCTTTATAAGTTGACCGAATTTTGCCCATTCGATAATCATTAGTATGTTAATAATTATTTGTACATATATAATCGATTGTGCAATACAGTACTACATTTAAACGGTAATTTACACATTTATAAATTCGTAATCTTTTTCACGTTTATAGTCATTCGTACATTTGTACGTATGTTTGCAATCTCGTGTTCGTTTGTCTGCGGTTGCAGGAGAAAACGTTCTTGTGGCGCACCTCGCTGTACCTCGCCGCCAGCGCTTCTGCCGAGTTCTTTGCCGACATCGGTTTGGCTCCGTTCGAGGCGACCAAGGTGAGGATCCAGACACAACCGGGCTTTGCCAACACGATGAGGGAGGCGATGCCCAAGATGTACGCTGACGAGGGAATTCGCGCGTAAGTCGATCATCGCATCATGAGCACGCTTAGTACGACGAAACCTTAGCTTAGTGCGACGTGTTGGGCTTAGACGTCTAACGATCATGCTGTGTTAGACCTGGAAGACTTCTGGAAATGTCCTCGGGTGTCTGAACTTGATGACAGCAAATTCACAATTTTCAAGAAACTGACACTAGATGGCACCAGTGAGTAGCAAGCATAATTAGTGCCGGTTCGTGGTTTTAACTGGTCTCGATGTACCTAGAGATGGTACGTGTACTTCTATCTTGACTCCCCAACTTATAATAATGCTGTGCGAATGAATGTTTGTTTGCACTGCATATACCTTCATATCAATGATATTTGTGTATGTAAATGATAAATAAAAATATTGCCTTTCGTAGGTTCTACAAGGGCCTGCCACCGCTGTGGGCCAGACAGATTCCATACACTATGATGAAGTTTGCAGCATTTGAGCGTACAGTTGAGTTCTTGTACAAATACGTCGTACCGAAGCCAAGGTCAGAAATGAGCAAACCCGAGCAGCTTGTTGTCACCTTTGCTGGAGGCTACATTGGTAAGTGCTCAGAGAAGTATTCCTATTTAAAAACAAATGCAAGTTCAAATTGCTCTGTCTGCCTGTGTCTGTTAATGAAGAGACTGTTGGTGTCATTCGTGTGGTAAATTTTGAGGAGATGAAAAATCCTGTCGTTATTTTTATTTCATTATGAGGATTGTTATCAAAAATGACATGCTTATAATAAAATTGTTTTTTCCTCTGTCTTACAGCTGGAGTATTTTGTGCACTTGTGTCCCACCCTGCTGATACTATTGTGTCAAAGCTCAACCAATCTAAGGGAAGCACAGCAGTATCTATTGCGAAAGAGCTGGGATGGGCAGGTAAGGAAATATAAGATACTTAAACTAACATAAAGATAAGGTAAATAGGTTTTTAACAGTATGTACAGTGAAGCGTGTATGTGTGATAACTGCCTGTTGTGAAACGGATTTTACAGTTCCCGTAATCCTTATCGATAGTGACCAGTATCTGTGTTCACGTTCCATTGATTCCATATACTGAATTGTCAAAATGCGCATGTAATTTCGGTTTTGTGTTGAATATGAGATTGCTGACAAAAATGTTTATGCTCGTGCTGCAGGACTGTGGAAGGGATTGGGTCCCAGAATCATCATGATCGGAACGCTGACGGCCCTGCAGTGGTTCATCTATGACTCGGTAAAGGTTGTCTTCAGACTCCCGCGTCCGCCGCCGCCGGAGATGCCCGAGAGCTTGAAAGCCAAGCTTGCGATAGAAAAATAGGTCATTGCCGACTCTAGCTGTATCTCGGGCGTGACGAGGGACAAAGTTAGTTGGCCGTGCGTATTTACCCAGCAACATTCAGGTCACAGTACATGCAGACGGTAAATGTAAATTGGTGAGGGTGCCGTATCTAGATTGCTTTGAGTGGGCCATCGTGTGACCAGCATCCGTCCATTATATCAAATATATTTGATCAATATATTAAATTGATTCAAGTGTAAATGATCACAATGGTTTAACATCATGTACTTTTGCTAGCATGCAAGTTGTTTTTCTACAGATTTTACAGAAAAGGAGAGGCTAAAATATGTACAGTAATGGATCGATAGCAACGTGTTTAATATGACCAATAATTCTACTACCATATCAATTAAAATGGCTGTGTTCGAAGCTCTTTTATAATTCACATTTCACAGACGATCGGATATATTTTCACTCGAAGCTAGAGAAATGTATATAATTGACGTCAGCATTCCAGGATTTAAACCCTAGACCTCCATTAACTGCTACTGGCAATACTGTTTTGGGGACATAGACAGCTGTTTTCAAGTGGCAAAATGTTAATAACATTCCAGGTATGGTTAGGGTTACTATACATCATTCCGAAAATGAGTTTTATTGACCTCACCGTGTCTGATCTAGATGGGACCAATCTTCTCAAATCTTGCACAGAAGAATCATGCACAAGTTTTGTTATTCCGGTGTTTTTGTTCTAGTAAATGTAAATTTTACTACTATCACTGTTAAATTTGCTGGTGTGATTATCACAGTCAACCCACAATAAAATTTGTTAGCTAATTACAATTTTGGTATTGTTTATCTATCGGTTGAATAACGGACGGTATGACACTGCAGAAACAATGTACACAAGTTAAAAAAGGTAATTTTATTCACAGGTTGCCCATTTTTATCTCAGAAAATTAACATTGCTATTTACATCATGACATATTCACAGTAATACCTAAACAGAACTGTATAGTATGTTAGGTGGTAGTTGCCAACAGTTGCTTGCCTACTGTTAGTTTTGACACTATTCACAAATATTTCTTCGGTTTGGTGACCCATTTAAAGTGTTCACATCTCGCTTCTTTGTTCGACTTGTGACCCTCGGGTCGGGCGCAGACGAAAAACTGCCTGTTCACGTTTGGTCCCGACTTCTTCACGGTTCGCAGCACACACGGCTCGCCGTGACCTCTACAGACTGGAGGCGGCGGCGGGCCACGCAGGAGGCCCTTCCACTGAGCAGCTTGCGACTTTGCAGCGGCCGCAGGAGCAGGAGCGTCGGCCGCACAGTGAACGTTCGACGCCGGATCCTTGCCGCGATTTCCTGCAGCTGCCGCTGCTACGTCAGCGTTATCGGCACCATTTTGTCCATTGCACTCGCCGCGAACGCTGAAATAGAGCTCGTTAGTCAATGCATTGTTTCTCGTGTCAACACCATACTGGCTCCTCGTAGAGGTGAGTGTGCTTTGTACCCGAGTGCCGGTGATTGTTTCAGATCCACCGTTAAGCACGTCTTTCCAAATGATCTGCTTGGCAACTGTGAGCTGCGATGAATCAACCGCATCCAGTTTCTTTGCCCCTTTCAATAGGAAACCTGCGAGCGTTCTTTGTTTTCCAGTCTCTATCTTCGCCTTCTTGCGTGCGTGTTCGGCCGGATTCCGCGATTGCTGCTTTGACTGTGGCTTTCGATCGCGCGCTATAGCGGTTGTGCCAACGTCCAGTGGCTGCGCGACTGCACGCTCGTGAGTCTTGGGGAAAAATTCTGCCAGCTTCTGTTGTTTTCCAGAGAAACCGTACTTTGTGCACAGACTCGGGCAATTGTTAGCCGCTACCACGTCAGCGTTGAATGTTGCCTTGACCGGACAGTGGTCCGATCCTTGAACGTGCTGCAAAACGTCACAGTCGACCAGCGCTGTCGTCGCGAGACATCGGTCGGCGAAAATGTAATCTATTCGCGTTCCGTAGTTGGTTTGGCGAGCTCCGGTCACCGTGGACCAGCAGGTGAAGGCGCCCTGCACGGTCGGGTGTAAGAATCGGAAACAGTCCACGAATCGTTTGGCTGCGACACCTGGTGGCCATTCGCACGATCGGTCGTTGTTAGTGGTGCCTGGTTGCGTGCCTTCCTTTTCAGGTGTCCACAGAAAACCATCCAGCCACTTTCGCCCAGGGTGAGATGCAAAGGCCTACCAAAGATACCAAAGATTAGGTATTTAACACTTGTGAAAATGAGAATGAGCGTCCACTTTTCGCATATATGAGACATGTACAGCGGTACCCAAATAAGCACTCAATAGATTTTTATAGAAAGTTAAAAACATTTGCTTGTGTCATGTGCTATATATTAAAAAAATATGTGTGCGTGGTGCGTACATACCTTACACTGAGCTGGATCACAATGGTCAATCGGCTTATGAGACGTGTTCACATCACCTACTATGACAACGTGCCTGCAAGTACGACACAAACAGTGCAAAGGTGAATTGTAACCAAATGGGGTTAATCTACTTGGAAACTCTTTTTAAGACATGCTCGCAGATATAATGATTTTGTCAAGCACATTTATAAACGTTTAATTAATATGGAATTTACAATTCCATTAGGCACCGTCTCCCATGCACAACTACATACCTGCCAGAGTTTAGAAGAGCTTCTGCCCTAATCTGCAGCAGTTGATAAAATCTGAGCTTGTAGGATTTCCTGTCTTCACGTTCAGGGTCCGCTCGTGGGCAATAAACATTGATCACTACCAGACTATTCTCAGCACCATCCTGTCCACTGCAAGTAATAAATTATAATGGTATAACATATCCCAACATTCCAATAGCTTGCAAAACACAATTCGCGTGTGCCGTGAACTTGTTTAGGAGTGAATTCCTGACTAAAATTAATATTTCCTAGGTTAAAATTAATATTACTACTCTATATACAGTCAAGCCTGTATACAAGGGTCACTGAAAGGAAATCTCATGTTTTCTTTTTGGCCAGACGTCTATTCAACAGTTTCTTTTACTGTATAACTTCCACTCAAAGAATTGCCCAGTGTCTTTTATAGATAGGTGTCCTTTCAATAGAGATGCCTGGTAAACACATGTTTGAATAAATAATTCCAGCTTACAATTAAGTCGACTTATCGTGTTATGTCTACAATTTACCGAATTTTGTGCTCTGTCATAACGGCACGGCCTTCATTGTCAAGACATTTTAGCTCCTCCTCTGTGAACTGTTCTAGATTGCCATAGTAACCTATGGTGTCACTACTAGCATCATTTCCAGCCGTCAACAAGCCAGACAATTTATTTTCTGCTCTGACAGGGGTCACGTGATCCTTGCAGTATGTTGCAACACCGCTGTAACCGCTACGGACGAGCGAGAAGCTAAAGTAGGAATTGAAGCCATCGACGACAGCGGTAGCTTCATCTAGTAGATCTCCTAGAACAAACAATTAAGTGATTAGCAGGGTGTATTCTACATATTTTGACTTGTGGGGGAACAGGGTGGTGTTGTTAAGTGCCATACATAATTGTGAGTTTGACACTATTGCCTGCACTGCTCTACATTATACGAGCCGGAGAAATGGAGGGGATGGTGCTACCAGACACGTAAGGGGGGGAAACTAGGGGGGTCCGGGGGCCTGGTCGAATCACTGGCAGCAAGAACAAGTCCGCACCTGCAGCTACAACACACAGGCATCTATTGACTATATATAACAACATTATATATAGTTATATATAACTACTATAACAACTATAGCTACTATAACTACTATAACAACTATATATAACGTTGTTATATATAGTCAATAGATGCGTGTGTGCTGTAGCTGCAGGTGCGGACTTGTTCTTGCTGCCAGTGGGTCGAATGGGAATTCTTGCCAAGGTGGCCCCTCAATTGCCAGTAGCAGCAGCGCCTCCAAAGCTGACTCACTCAGCCTGTTCCTCATGTAGCCATTCCCATTAAAAAAATAATAATAAAATGATTTTTTTTTAATCGGGGCGGAAATAATTTAAACGTGGCGCAACGATTGAAACGGGGAGGGGGAGTTTTCCCAAACGGGGCGGGCGCGCCCGGTTTGCGCAACGTAGGGAGAAGCCTGGGTTAGGGTTAGGGCACAGGGAAGTCAAATTTGAGCACCAGCCAAAAGAACTCACGGTCCGGTTAGCGGGTTACCGGAGCAGGAGGCACTGCCATGATTGATTGTATGGTGGAGCTTATCATGCTCATATAGACCAAATGTGTTATGCGTAGACATGTGTACTACTTAAGTTAGTGTGTGTTGCATGCTTACTCGTTATTTTTGTTTCTTGAAAACAAATAATATCTGCATCCAGATCATTCAATACATCCTTTAGTGGTAATTTAGTGGCTCTGATGCCGTTAATGTTCCACGTCAAAATCTTAATTATGTCTTTACTCATGGCTGGTGCAATAGTGCACCATCAATTTCAATAACATTTCACCCCACAAGAAAGTAAATTCAGTCTTTCTAACGGACATCAGCTGCATTTATTAGTCACTACACAATCATGAAAATATTGAAGCATGTTGATGTTGACAAACTCATCATCAGCCGCGAGGCCCGCCAAATCTTGGACGTCAACTACGGTTGTTTATAGAGGGCAGCACATATCGCTGTTTTGGTTGTTCGTCGATTTTACCATATTATGATTTTACCTATGGATTAACAGGTTTCATGTGAAACTGCAATGGTTTGCGATAAATGTATTTAAAATTACGTTTTTCTTATTTGATAAACTACTATTACACCTTATCATTATATCCAGTGTAGTGCCAGTGGACACCGACAAGTACGAGAACATAACATAACATAAGTCATATCATAACATTAGTCATTACTGTCATTTAGACTTAGTCACCTATGAGTATGAGTATGAGGCTATGGCTATGTTCATGTTGCGTCCGACTCTGTTAGTGTTACTGTTAGTGTTATTAACTTTTGTTGTCATACTGACATACATTAATTACAAATACAAATATTCATTGAACTTGGAGAAATGACTAAATGAGTCAACGATAAGACACCTGCCTGGCCTGGCCAAAGGCATAGACCGAATAATTCTGTCCCAGATAACCTTTTCGCAGTGGCTACGCGTCCGGAACCGGTCGCCTAGCCTCCAGGCTACGCATCCGGACATCCACTCACACAGTGATCGCGCGACTTGCGTACACGCATGATTGCGCACACACCTCTAGCTCTCCCCCCCCCCACACACACACACATCTAGGCTCTAGCACGCGCTCTCTCTCTCTCTCATGCATACACACACACACATACACATTCCCTCTCTCTGTCTCTCACCCACACACACACACACACTCGGCAATCAGCAGAGCGTCCCGTTGCGCAATCATGTGTGTACGTGTTGCAAGATCACTGTGTGAGATGGATTTCCGGACGGGTAGCCTAGCGGCTCCTCATCCGGAACCGGTCGCGTAGCCACGGCCTAACCTTTTTATATTTTGGTGAGGGTTATTGGGACAGAACGGGGTGCATTGAAATTTCGTGAGCGATTTCGTGAGAATTTCGGGGTTCTAATGCGGCCCGTATGCCGGTATCGGCATGCATGCGATCTCAGGAAATTTGAATGCACCCCGTTCTGTCCCAGTATAACGCATCTAAAATATAAAACGTTATCTGGGACAGAATTATTCGGTCTAGGCCTGGCCACAGCCGCCACAGGCACTTGGAGCGTTTCAATAAAATATAATGCTAAATAAATACAAAATCTATTTACTACCAAAGTCTTAATCTTTCTATACTCTCTTTCACCTATTATTGCCACTCATCTAAAATATAAAACGTTATCTGGGACAGAATTATTCGGTCTAGGCCTGGCCACAGCCGCCACAGGCACTTGGAGCGTTTCAATAAAATATAATGCTAAATAAATACAAAATCTATTTACTACCAAAGTCTTAATGTTTCTATACTCTCTTCCACTCCTCACATACTCTCTCGGACAAATTTTCTGTAAATGCTGTCCAAATGCTCATCTGCAACAAACGCTGGCTGCCGCTGCACACTGACACATAAATATATAGCAGGTAGGAAAGCGTGCTGCCAAAATTTGCTCGACGCTCGCTTGATTTCATACGAATACAACACATATTCAACCATTGTACTCCATCGTTGGTTCTATTTGAAGAACAGTGTTTACTTGTTATAAAAACATAATGTTTGTGTTCGTAACCGAGCTGTGTCAAGCGAAATCACACAAAGCCTGACAAAATTCTTGCGTTAGCTCCCGTTGCGCAGTTTATGTAAATGGCTGTCAGAATCAGGAAACACCCACCAACGCTCTTCGTGACCTCATTTTTGCGCCGCAACGCTGCAACGTTTTTGCAACGCTCCATTGGCGGCTTTGACGAGGCTCGTAAGGGAGTTGGAAAGCAGCGTAGTAGTTTCCCAAAATGCAGTGCGCCGCCTATAGCCCTGGGGCCCATTGTCAGAAACAAAATTAGTCTTAACATTAGTCTTAACATTAACTTCCACTCGTTAACCGTTGACAGAAACATCGTAATGTTACGAGAACGAAAAATCCTCGCAAATATTCTTTTAACATTATGAGAGCCCAGACCCTCTCGTAACTTTAATATTAAGTTGAAAATAACACATTTACACTACGAATTACAATTATAGTGATATTATATTTTATAATAATGAATAAAATGTGTTTTTCTTGAAAAACACATCAAAATCATTAATTATCTACCGCTAATAAAACAAAACAATACATTTACAAATGGCGTATGGCATTTGTTCTCTTGTTTTAAATGTTTGCCATGCTTGCCACAACTCTCACGTCTCGTGTTAAAGTGTGAGAATTTGTTTTGTTGTGCAGTATAAATTCATGACCACGTCATTTTTCATCAAAGATTATTTATATGTGGTTAGCCATCATTATGCATAAATTACTGTGATGTATAATAAATGTCTTTGAATTTGAATTTTGTGATCGATTCTCATCCAATCGGCAGCCTTGTGACATGAAATTATGAAGTTCCTGTTATCGTGAGTTTGCTCGTAGCTACGATGTGTTTCTGTCAACGCTACTCTCGTAGCATTAACATTAGTCGTAAGTGTTATCGTAGCATTAACATTAGTCGTAAGTGTTATCGTAGCATTAACATTAGTCGTAAGTGTTATCGTAGCATTAACATTAGCATTAACTTTACGATGTTTCTGACAACGGGCCCCTGTACTTGCAGCCATTTACATAAACTGCGCAATGGAAGCGAACGCGAGAATTTCGTCAGGCTTGTGTGATTTCGCGTGACACAGCTCGGTTACGAACACAGACAGTATGTTTTTATAACAAGTGAACACTATAAATCTTCAAATAGAAACAAAGATGGAGTAGAATGGTTGAATATTTGTGTTGTATTCGTATGAAATCAAGCGAGCGTCGAGCGAATTTTGGCAGCACGCTTTCCTACCTGCTATATATTTATGTGTCAGTGTGCAGATGCAGCCAGTGTTTGTTGCAGATGAGCATTTGGACAGCATTTACAGGAAATTGTCGGCAATAATAGGTGAAAGAGTGTATAGAAACATTTCGCTCCTGTGTATTTTTTACCCTGCTATGTACAATCATCATACAGATAGAGAATAAATGGCAATGTTTTTTTGATCCTCAGGTCAAAAGAAGTTAGGGAAGGTAATAACTCCAGATCCTTGGAAGAGTGGAGCAAGAAATACGACTGGCACGTATACAATATATTCATGCCTAAAGTCGTAATCTCGTAATCTCGTAATGTGGTGATGATAACTCTTCAGTCAGAGTCTAAAGGACTATGAGGAAGATGGAGTTTGATTAGATCGCTAAGTCCATACTGCAAAAAGCAACGTAGAAGGTTTCAATGTCAGAATTTGTAATGCAGCTAGAACAGTGCCACACACTTGTGACACAAATGCAAGATTCCTTAGACTTTGTTATTTCCATTTTGCTCTTGTATACCATAGTAAATAATAATACGACATGGGAGTACCCATAGGCTATGTTTAGTTCGCATGTCGTATATAAGATTCAGCATTCTAATTCATTTTATTTCTTAATATTTTAGAAGGGGGTGGACGGTCGATTGGCGAAAATAAGGCGTTAACATCTGGAAAAGCAAGGTACAATATTTTTATGTGCAGGATATATTGGCATTCACTAGTTAGAAAATGAAAGTGGATGGAAGGTTACTGTGGCGAAAAACATATATCAGGCCTTTAGCTTAAATAGCTGAAGTATATATATATATAGCTTGTGAATTTGTCCTGTTTGGCATTTGTCATGGCCACTTTTGATTCCCTGTGTGTATGCAAGATGTCAAGCTAATGTAAACTGGAAGCCATTGGCTAAAGCTCAGCATGGCAAAGGATAAGTTTTTAATTTACCCTTATAAGTTACCTACAAGTCTGAGATATAAATTGATTCACCTACACTTCAGATTGGGGTTATTTGATAAATATGAGTGTGAGAATAATAAATTATGATTAAAATATCTGATCTAATCTAATAACTTATAGCAATTCTAATGTTCCTGCCAAGCTTAGACCAATCCTAATGAGACCAATCTTTAGTAGAACTTATCTTTACTGCAGCAGCAGCAGCAATTGTGTCAAAATTGGACATTTTTGTTAGAATAAAGTAGATGTAGTAAATGATGTAGTGTCTCTAAAATGAATTATTTCTTTCAGGTATAAACCATACAAAGGTTCAGACCAATTTGAGAAGTGCAGGATTTGCAAGTCAAGAGTGCATCAAGTTGGTTCTTACTACTGTCAAGGTATGTCCTAAAACCATTAAAATGATGAAATTCAATTATAAACTGGCAGTGTTTCTTAAGAGTGGGTAGAAGCAATTTCAAACTGTATAAATGTTAAATGGAATTTGCCACATTCAGAGATTGTGTTGTCTTGATTTAAAAAAATTCTGATGAAAAGTTTTTTTGTAGGTTGCGCATACAAGAAAGCCATCTGCGCGATGTGCGGCAAAAAGATGATGGAAACGAAAAACTACAAGCAGTCTTCTGTATAGCATCTCGTGAACGTGTGCACTTTACCTACAATCACTCCAACTACAGTTTCCGGCTCCAGCTGTAGTCGTTCCAGCTCCCGAGTTATCGGCAAAGGAATATCTCCATTGCTGACATTGTTTATATAAACTGGGACTGTAGTTTTGCTATGAGGACCTTTATGAGGAATTTTCCTGGCGGAGATTATTCTGCTTTACGTTCAATCAATCACTCTCACTACATACACGCAATATATATATATATAATACTTGATAATATGACAAGTAATACATTTCCATAATATACGATTATATATATTTAATATATAATATTTTCCGTTTCATCGCCCCCCCCCCTCCCCCGTGTGATTCGCTGCACACTGATCCAGCACTGACGTAGCCCTCGTGCTACAACTCGGCAGTGAACCAGCCATCCGTTCTGAACCGGCGCGGCGAGATGCCCGACTCCGGTAATGGCGGCTCCGTGTTCGACACGATCGCGAACGTCATTGGGCTGACGCCGGCGAAGCCGCTCAACAAATTCGGCAAGATCTGGTACCAGGTGTTCCTGTGGGCGCTCTTCTCCTCGCTCTTCGTGCACCTCGTCGCCGCGGCGATCGCCTTCTGCCGCCTGCACAGCCACAAGTTCGGACGCTGGACGCCGCTGCTGATCGTGGCGATGGGCGTCGTGTCGCCGCTGACGGGCGGCGCGCTGACGAGCGCCGTCGTCGCGGGCGTTTACAGATCCGCCGGCATCGTCATGCAGCCGCTCTTTGCGCTCTTCTGGGGCGTCGGGCAGACGATCTTCGTGCTGCTCGTGTCGTTCTCGCGCATTCTCGCCACGCTGTGAGACGCGCGCGCACACGCGGCGAAGTTTGCGCGACGTCGCGGAGCGGCGGATACCGATCGTTGGTGTCGTGTCGTTGGCGTGAACGCATTTATGCTAAACGTGCGTTTGGTCGTTTAGAGTACACGTGTGTTCGTGTGTTGAAATGTCTCGAGCTGCGAGTTCTCGTGTGGAGATCGTGCGTACTTTTGTGGTTTTAACGGTGCAAGTTGGAGAATGCGTGTGGATTTACGAGGGTGATAGCATATAAATTATGTTTTTAAGTGAAGTCTGTTTTGGTGTCGTTAGTGAGGTATGAGCATTATAAAAATTTGTAATATCATTTTTAATAGTCCATGCTTTCCTCCTTGGTAGCAGTGGGATTGCTTGAATACTCGTATTCTCAATGGTACATGGTTGCACAAAAAATTATTGAACTGGTTTTCAGACACAGAAACTTCATTCTTGTATTAATTAAGATGTTCGTCATGAAAAAATGAAAAGTATATAATTTTCTCTGTGTTATTGCAACGAAGCAGGAACAGTAGGTGCTTTTTCTAAACATGTCAGTTTTAATATCAGTTGTCACTCGTTTATTTCTATGTAATATATGATCAATGTATTGGCAATAAATGACCATAGCATGTATATCAGTACTGTTATTTTATAATTTAAAGAATAACTTGAATAATACACTAGTTATTTGCAACAGAGAGCCATATATTACACACGACATACGGCAAACGATCAATTTAAAGAAGTAGTAGTGTTTGTGTGTTGTAGTGCGTGTATTTGTGTAAGTGAGATGTGTGGTTGCTTATGCCCCGTATGTATGTGCCAACATATTGAAAAGAAATGAATTGATTGCATCCATTGAAAAGGCAAAGGCCATACGCACAAAGAACATTTACATTTTTTGCAGCTTTGTGCGGTTAGAATTCGTTGACAAACCATAGAATATCTTGACAAAATTTTCTTCTCGCGTATAAAATCCAATCGCGTAATAGAAAATGCGCCTATTGCTCACCCGATGGCGCCAGCTGTGCAATATTGATCTGGAGGCTGTTACGGAAAAGAAGACGAAGAGAAGATGAAGCGCTACACGGAGACCATATAATTCGCACTCGTAGTGTGATCAGGTCTATACATTTTTAAAGAGTGTTACCATTATAGGTATGAACAGGTAGTTAATATTGTTCCGTTACGCATAAGCATCAGTTTTGAGTATTATTATTAATAATATCAAGTGATCGAGTGCAGTGCATTTTTGTCACTGTACCGTCTCAATCCTCAGTATCCTGGCATCAGACATCAAATGTTACAAATGTATCATACTGACAGCAGAGCAAGTCAGCAAGATTTCAACAAACTGAGAAAGTACCCGATACCGGTATACGCAATGGTTTTAGAATTTTGAGTGCATGATGATAATGTCTGCACTATTAAATTGATAGCGTTTGATACTCGACGTACTCATGCATCCGTACTCATCTCGACGTACTCGGCCTACCTAGACTCTAGCCCGACCCAAGGAGCTAAA